CTTTTAAAGTGTAAAATAACTATTCAAAGTCGCTTAAGTTATTTATGTTGAATCCAAGCGCTGCTGGATAGAAATCCTGAGTGGACTAAAGGATGAACTGCTTATATCAGAGTGATGATATTGCAGATTTTAGATGCAGGTGTTATAATCTGTTATTCTTTCTTTTGGCTATCTGATAYTGATATTGGTTTGGGACACACCTACTACCCTTATCAAACAACTAAATAAGTAAAACATTGTCATCTCACAAATTCACCATTTTGTAATAATCAAAAGTGTATGTTGACATTTGCACAGTCACAACCCACGCCGACACATCGGCTCCCTACCTGATACTCTTTGGGGCTTTGTGGAAGGATGGTTCGGCCCTCCCTCCAGTGAGGCCCCTGGTCACCTTTCAGTGCCCATAAGAGCGTGTCTTCCAGGTTGCTGTCCCTCAGGAGGACCCTCAGGCTCCCCTGTGCCTCCCCCTGGAGCTGGTAGTAGAACAGGAGACAGAGAGGGCCTCGTTCTGGGCCCACCTCGGGGCTCAGCAGTCGGGCTTTCTTGCGCTGGGTGTGGGAGCCTGCGTCCAGGTGGAGGTAGTTCCCTGAAAAATCTGATGGGATGACAGATAAAGATGGTCTTACTGCACTGTAGGAAGGGATTTTGAAGAGTGGTAAATACTAAAAAAGGTATTTTTGTGGCAGCATTACAGCGTGACAGTGTGTAAATGTGTGTATGAACAGGTGAATGACTGAAGCGTGAAGTGTTTTGGGGTCCAAAGTAGCTTGATGAAGTGCTCTATAAGTTCAGACCATTTACATAAAGTCTTGGTATTACTGCAGCATTTTGGATAATTTTTATGTGCAGCTGTTGTATTTTGATCTAATTAAAGGGGCAATTTCATGTAAAATCAACTTCTTTGAGTTTTATATCATGTTATAATGTTATACTCTCATAAAAAACATGCCCAAAGCCTTGCTCTGACTCATTCATGCATGTTTGAGAAATCCTGCAGGGTTTTTAGGAAGCCATGCTGAGGAGCAAAACGACAGGTGGGGACCAGAAACACCTTGTGGGACCAGAAACGCCCCTGAGACGTGTCTTTAAGCTGAACCTCCTCATGGCGGAGCGCCACCCCCCCTCCTCCCCACACACCCCATCCATGACTCCTGCAGGCTCTCAGGTGAAAGTGAAAGTGAAACCTAACTGTCTGCTGAGCTCTCAACATTAGTTCTCGCTCAGTGAAGCTCTTTTCAGATTAAAAATACCTTTGAGGAAATGTATTTTCAGATGCCAAATAAACTGCATCATAGCAACCCACCCCCCCGCACCGAAATGGGCGAGACAGAAGCGGAAGGTGGTTCTTAAAGAGACAGAGGCCAATTTCAAGGTGTTTAGAAGAGGAAGTGATGAGAAGATAAGTTTATTTTCTATTTAAACATAAAAACAGCATTTTAATAACAACTAAAGGTGACAGATATTTTATTATGGTATAGTATTTAAATATATGCCTGAGAAACACATAATATTGGCCCTTTAAAACACAGATTTTTTTGTTTAATTCAATTTTGTTTGTTTTTAAAGTTAACATTCACTTGACAACACTCTTGCAACATTTCAATAAACCAGCACATATATATACTGTGAATGTGTGTATACATACTGTACACACACA